GCCAATCGCGCCTCACTCCGGAAGGCCCGACGTCAACGAAACAAACTTGAGGCCCCGAGGAAGCCCCGAGGAGGCGGACCGCCAAAACAATCACGCAACCAACGCAACGAAATACACGTGAATGTCCAATCGCGCGTTACTCGGTGACCTCTTCGGCCACGCAACACCGCGATAATGCCCAAGAAGGCATGGGCCAAAAAAAAAACGCGCGCGGCCCGGCGACTTCCCCGCGCCGCCCCAGGCGCCCCGAAGCGCGCCGAAATAACCGTAGAGAAAACGCAAGAAAGACTTTGGAAGGTCCCCGCGCCAGGGAAGATCCGCCACCGAATGCTCTCGCGGACACCTGGCGCGCACGCGCGGGCGCCCACCATGGATGCCCGACTCCGGTTTCCGAGACAATCGCGTGCAGCCGCCCGGGGGCCTCGGCAACCTCGCGATTGGCCCAGTGGCCCGCGGGCCCCCAGGGAATCGAGGACCGAGTTCGCAAAGCCGGAAACATCGGGCGCGGCGCCAGCCAGTCGCTCGTCTCTGGCTGACAACAAGGCGCCGGGAAATCCGGTAAAACCTGAAGAAACCGCTTTTCAGAAATTCACAGACCAGAAAACGGGGCGCGCTCAATTCTCGCGCCCGGACTTCTCTGAGAATCTCTGACAATCTCTAAACTAGCCACCCCGCTTGAAACATTCCCATGAACCCGAAACCCCCGAGCTGGCCGAAACTCTCTGAGAGTTTTTCGGCCCGCGAAATTTGGCGCGCCAGGATTTCTGGTTCCGAGATTCTCTGAAAACATTCCCATGAACCCGAAACCCCCGAGCTGGCCGAAACTCTCTGAGAGTTTTTCGGCCCGCGAAATTTGGCGCGCCAGGATTTCTGGTTCCGAGATTCTCTGAAATCGGTCTGCGGCGGCGCCCAGCAGGTCCTCGCGCGCCCGGGGTGGGGGCCGTGGAAATCGCGGGCCGCGATGGCCCCGACCGCGGGGCCCTTCCCCCTGGCCCTCGACGAGCCCGCGCTCATGGACGCTCTCTGCGCTGAGCGTGGACCGCGCCATCCGCCGGTACTTCTGCGCGGCGACAGCCAACTGGCCGCCGACGGACGTGGCAATTCTTTCTGCGAGCTGCGCGCGCCGCCGAAAACGTGCAATGGCCCCGGGCTCGGGAGAAACACTTTCGAAGCACTTTCAGGTCGCCAGCGTCGCGGCTGCCGACCCGCCGCGCGCCGACCGCGAGACCAGCTGGGCCCGCTACGTCCACGGCGGCGGGCGGGCGCCCAAGAGAGCTGTCGCCGCGGCGCGCGCGGCGGGGCGCCCGCCCCACTGCGACCGAAAATGCTGCCTCCATGGCGCCACTGGCGTCATGTGCGCGACGCATTCTCGGGCCCCCCATCAGCGCGTCGGCCGGCGCCCGGGCCCCTGAAACGCTAACCTACAGCGCCCCCCGTGCAAGCCGCGCACCCGCTCCCAATGCTCGTGCAGACCAGTTTTTCTGCCCGCCCTCAACAGTTCAATTGAGGGCCCATGTGTTACTTGGGCTCCTCAAGCCCTCGAACGCATCGCGGGGGACTTCTGCGAGCGCGCGCGCTGCGCCCCGCAAATCGGCGTTCTATTTTTCTCTGGGACACTTCCAGAATCTCTGGTTCCGATTTGTCCCGATCTTCCGCTCAACTGAGGGCTGGGCGAGGGGCGTGTCTCTGAGGCAGAAGTCGCACTTTGGTATTTCTTTTTACGTCTCTGTTTTTTAATCGAAGCAATTCCCCAGGCTGCGTCCACAGGTGAGCGCAGGGCCAGGGGGGCGCGCCTCTCTGGCGTGGCGAGCGCCTACTGTTTCGCCATTGCTGGAGGAGCAGAGGGATGGATACTCACTCGGGCCGAGGTACCGGAATCTTCGCAGCGTTTCTCGCCTGGGGGCGCAAGAAATCCGAACTCGCGCGCGCCTATGAAGTCCTGCAGCTGGAAAAGCAGGTAGGATGGGGGCGGTCGGAAGAGGCGGGGGGTGGGATACGGTCGGAAAACGTAGGCGTGGGGGGCATGAGCAGGCAGGAGGGGAAACGGGAGGGTGAGAACGGGGGCGCGGGGAGGTTGGAAGGGATAGCCGCCGCGTTACTGGATCGCGGCATCATGGCAGCTGGCGGCTGCTGCTGGCAGTCCTTCGGGAACATGGCTTTGCCCCGGCGCCAGGTGGGCGCTTCCGCGCTGCTGGCGTCAGAGGTGGACCCTGGCGGCCTCGCGTCGACGCCGGCGCGCCATTCCTCGGCCGCGGAGGCCTGAGTGAAGTCGCGCGGGACGCCCCCAAACGTGATGCCCTCATTGCTGGCTCGGCCAAGTTACCAAGCAGGCGATTCACCGCCTTGCGCATCGTCGCGCGGGCATGTACAATCAAATGCAATTTCGCTGCGGTCTCCATGATCTCAAGATCTGATTCTCCAGGGGCACCTTCTGTCAGCAGCGGCCAAAACAAATCCGTCTGAAGCGGCAACCTCTTCTCGCGCGTTCCACTTCGCATGCTCGTGGTCCCGAGCGACGACCACACGACCAACTCTTCCGAAAACACTCGCCTCGCCAGGTGGGGTCCCATTCGTTCCGATTGCGAACATGCCCGTGCCCACCCGAGCGCGGCCGGGGCATCAGGATTTCATAAGGTGGTCGAAGGCGACGCGGAGGTGCTGAAAGGCTGTGGCGTGCGCGTCCTTGCCCTCCTGGTCGCCTGCATATTGCACCGGGCGCCAAAAGGAAAATCACAACGGAACCATTTCAGGGTGATTTTCCATCTGCCCCCCCCCCCCCCCCGAGAGTACAGAATGCGTTCTCGGGAATAAAAAACCCAAACCATTTGGGCCTTCTTCAAACGACCCGAGAGGGCCTTCGTCGAGCAACCCGATATGGCCTCGCTAAAGCAGCTGAATAAGGCCTTCATGAAACAACCACACCAAAATTGCATTTTTGAAGCAGGCCAATAACGCAACCGAGTAAGGCCTTCCTCATACGGCCAAGAAAGGCCTTGTTGAAACAACCCCCAAAAACGATCTTTAAGCAGACCGATGCGGCCTTTTTTAAGCAGCCCAATGAGGGCTCCTTTGAGCAGCGCAATGAGCCGGCTCGTTAAAAGGTTTTTCTAAGCCGCCCAGGGGGGCCTTCCTAAAGCGGCCCAGGTGGGTCCAGCTTTAAGCGGCTCAAGGAGGTCTTTCTACAGCAGCCCAATAAGGTCTTCTAGCGTCCACCAGAGCTTTCCTTAAGCGGTCTCACGAAGGTCTCCCAAATGTGTGTCCCACACGGAAAAGCACCCAAGAGCGGCTCCCGGTCACTTTATGGAAATCGAGCCGGGCGACGATCAGCGTGCCATCATATCCCATGCACCGTCTTTGAATATTCCTCCTGTAATGGGACAGGCCCGACTTAAATGCATCCCCCACCCCAAGCACCACATTTACAGACACAGACACCAACACAATCATTTTTTCCTTGCGCGTCCCAGCCTGCCCAGCGGGAGGGTGGCGATCGTAGAGGCTCCCTACCCGTAGAGGCATACGCACGCATACCCCCCCCCCCCCCACACACACACACAAAAACACACAAACACAAACACAAACACTAACACAAACACACACACAAACACAAACACACACACACACACGCACTCTCACATCATATTGGCGCTCTCACGGGTAGTGGCCATCTTAATTCAATTTTCCAGAACCTATATGGAATGCCACCCGTGATCACCAAGTGGCTCTCGCCATACCGCCGCGCAAATTCGTCTTAAACGTCTACTCCAGAATCACCGATGGAACTGACATGTGTTGCATGGCTTCCGCGTCAGCACCGTGCACATTCGCCGCGCAATATTGCAACACATACACGCGTGGCGCGGAGGATGGTTTCAATGTGTAGCTCTCGCCACAACGACAGCGCACACACACACACACAAACGTCTCACCAGCTCACAGCAGCTGCAGATGTGGACGGCGGTTCCTTTTCCAGGCGAGTCTTTCGCTTGCTACTTCCTCCGACTGTATATCGAACGCGGAAAGTGGAATCTGTGCAAACATGGAATATAACTAGAGCGCGGCTCCTACAACATGGCACTCTCGCTTGCGACTGCATCGCACGGGTAGGTGCAGAATCGTTGATACATTCTGGGCTTACCCTGGCAATCTTCATGCTCATTGTGCCTTTACTCCTTCCTCCTCCCTCCGCCTTCGTCCTTCCTTCCTCTGTCCTCCCTGCTCCCTCCTTCTCCCCCTCCCTCCCCCATAACACTCACTCCTCCTCCTGCTCCTCCTCCCTCCCTCCATCCATCTCTCCGCTCCTCCCTTAGCATCCCTCCTACAATCTCCTCCTCCCTGCCTCCAGCTCTTGCTCCGCTTCGTTCCCCCCTCCCCTGCTCTCGTCCCATCCCTCCCACCCCTTCGATAACCCCGCTCCTCCCACACCCTCCCCTTGGATCTCCCTCTTTGGATACAGGTGACCTTCCTTATCGTTTGGTTTCTCTGATCACAACTCGAATCTTCTGTTGCCGTTCGGGACGATCCGGGTACCCCTGGAACGCTCTCGGCGAGGCACATTTGCTGGAGAGCGTCCCGAAGGTGGAAAGCCGCCACGATAACGACCGACGACCTTAAGACGCAGACAGGACAATGATCAGGTCGAACAAAGGTAAATCGAAGATCTCTGGGACCCCGCAAGCCTACTGTATCGGGCGCGGCGGCCTTCTCAGAGCGCTCCGGAAAGCTCCGGAAAGATGTATTCTTGTCCAGCCCCCACCCGATACAGGGAAGCCCATCCCCGTCAGACCACGATCGCAACCACGACGACGACACTGCTTAATGCGACTGCTTGCAACAGTGCGTCCTGTGGAGGAAACTCCACCTGCCTGAAACAGGCGCCAAAGACAGCCAATATCTACTCCACGTGGGGAGGGGGAGGGGGGGTGCGAGGGCCCGCGCCGATCGGCAGAACAATGAGTAAGCAACGATTACGACCACGACAACGACGACGCTCACCGGTCCTCGGCATCCCCTCGCACCGGGGCGTCCTCCGGAGGCAGCAGCATGACGCCGTACCTCCGCAGCTCGGGTGGGGCCGCTCCTCCGACTCTCTGGACTCTGGGCCTATCCCTCGCGCCTCCTCCTCCGCCTCCTCCTCCTCCTCCTCCGCCTCTTCTTCTTCTTCTGTGTCATATTCCTCCTCCTCCTCCTCCTCCGCCTCCTCCTCCTCCTCCACGTTTTTCTCCTCCTTTTACTCCTCCTCCTCCTCCTCCTCCTCCTCCGCCTCCTCCTCGAGAACGGGGGATTGTGAGGGACCTCGCCTTTCGAGTGGTGTTTTCGTATGCTTTTCCTTAGGGGTAACGCAACATTACTCCTCTTTCTTTTCCTCTTCTCTCCTGCTTTCCCTCCTCCTCCTCCTCCTCCTCCTCTTCCTCTTCCTCCTCATTCTCCTCCTCCTCCTCCTCCCCACCTCCCAGATTGATGTGTTTTTGTCACTCCTCCTCCTCCCCCTCCTCCTCCTCTTCCTCCTCCTCCTCCTCCGCCTCCCCCCCAAAACAAAAAAAAAACCTCTGCATCGCGCTGTTTGTTGTTGTTGTTGTTGCTGCTGCTGCTGTTGTTGTTGTTGGTGTTGGTGTTGGTGTTGGTGTTGGTGTTGTTGTTGATGTTGTTGTTGTTGTTGCTGTTGCTGCTGCTGTTGTTGTTGTTGAACATTATTAATTCTAAAGAATAATTATTGTTGGGACCCCTGGTGCACGGCCCCCCTGCGCCGCCTAGGCCGCAGCTACATTTTCATCATTTTCGTGAGGAAGCCTCAGGTAATTCGATGTGATCAAGATCCGGTTGTTTTGTTCCCCCCCGCTTTCCCTTGCAAAAAACACTATAAAATGACATTTCTTGTTCTAATATAATCAAATTTCAAGAATCCCTTGCAAAAAATAAGGTAAAGTGGACATTCGCGCGCGCAAGACGAAATCCTTCCAAAAGCTTAGTGTTCGGAGCGATTTCAACATAAAAACATCAAAAAACAATGGTTTTTCAACAAAAAAATGTCAAAATCTCATCCCGCGCGCTCTTGCGGATTCGTAGGAAACCCAACACTTTTTCAACATTTCTGTCAAACGGGCTTTTGCGAGCAACTTTTTCGAACTTCTGCGACAACGGTTGCGCACCTGCCAGGGCCATCATCCCTGTCAAATAATACCATGCGGGACAGATTCGTTTTTTCTTCGCGCGCGCACGCGGTATTTCCTCTCGCAGCCACGGGCCCGGCATCCGCGAGCAGGCGTATGAGCATCGTGCTCGGACACATCCCTGATGTCGCCATTGCGACGCGTATGGCCTCCGTGCTGCCACCTGTCCAGCCTCAGGTATCGCCGCGGATTGGCGCCATCACGGACGGGACCCAGGAGGAGGAGCCTTCGCGTCTGTAGGCTGTATGCCGTTGGCCGCTCATGACAGTATGAGTGCCGTTCCGTATGCCGCATGCCCTTGGCCGCTCATGACAGTATGAGTGCGCTCTGGCAGTATGCTCCCTGTTCCCCCGCCGGCACTGTTCGCCGAGGCTGGGCGATAGAAAAAGAAAGTATGGCAGCATCGCGACAACCATCGGGACAACCATCGGGACAACCATCCGAACAACCATCGGGACAACCAGCGGGACAATCATGTGGACAACGATCGGGACAACCATAACCATCAGGACAACTATCGGGACAACCATGGGGACGACGATCGGGACAACCACGATCATCAGGACAACCATCGGGACAACCATCGAGACAACCATCGGGAAAACCATATCGCCTCTCTCTCTTGTGTATTCCCACATCCCTCAGGAATTTGCCCTAAAGATGTGATCAACCATCTTGTGCGTACGTACCATGATCATGTGTACCATGTACCCTACGGGTCATATGCAACTGATGCCTTTGCGTATTCCCACTTCGGCACAGGAATTTGATGAACAAATGTGACGAACTCCTCTCTCTCTGTCTCTCTCTCTTTGTCTCTCTCTCTCCCGCTCTCTTCCTCTGTCTCGCCTTCTCTCTCTCAGTGTCTGTACCATGTCTAGCACTGGTAACAAAGGTATTTGTGTATCCCCACATCCGCCCAGGAATTCCACAAATGTGACCAACTATCTTGCGAGTACGTATCATCTCATGTGTGTCGTGCACACTATCAAATGTAACAGAGTTGTGTATTCCCATCATCCCAGGAACTTGACCCAAAAATGTGACCAACTCCGCTCTCTCTGTCTCTCTCTCTGTCTGCTCTCTGTCTCTCTCTCTCTGTCTCTCTGTATTATGTATTGTATGGCACAATTGCACCATGCTGGGCACATGCGCGCCCCGAATAAGTGACCAAGTTCTGTGGGTGTGTACCCCACGCCAGTGTAGTAGCCACGGTCGTCCGCACGCCACGAAGTGAAGTGTCCCAACGTCATAGGGCGGGAAGCTGGGTTTGGGTGGTCGCGAAGAGTCGTTTGGATATTTGGTAGAGCTTGTAATGCCCCCCCACGAAGTGGGGGTATTGCCTGGTGTCGTATGAAAACCCTGGCACTGGGGAGAACACCACGCGTTCGGGTAAAATGATTGTTGTTGTTGTTGTTGGTGTTGTTGTTGTTGTTGTTGTTGTTTTCTTGTTTTCTTGTTTTCTTGTTTGTTTCTGATTTTCTCGGGGGGAGGATGAGGCGAGACCACGAGTCTAGAGTCTCCTCCTCATCTTCTCCTCCTCCTCCGCCTCACCAAATCCTCCTCACTTCCTCCCCCCCCCCCCCGAGAGAAAAAAACAAATCATAAAAAATTCGGCGGCGCGGCCGCCCAACTTTTTGTTTGTTTGTTTGTTCCCCGCCCGGGGGGGGGGGGGGGGGCGGCGAAACAGAAGAAACCGACGTGGCCTGATCTGGATTCACCTCTGGAAGGATTCCGGTTGAAAGCCCCCACAAGAAGGGTTGCTATTGAAATCCTCCCCATATTGGTTCCGATTGGAATCACCTGCAAAAGGATTGCTATTGAGATGCTTCGACAGAACGAATCCCCCCGTTGGCATTGCATCGGCATTGGTTTGGCAATGGTTTGGCATTGCGCTGGAATTGTACTTTGTTGCGCTTTGGCAATGCGCTGGCACTTCGCAAGCATTGCGTTGGCGAATCCGACTGGAATCCTCCCCAGAAGGACTCCCATTGAAACCCTCCATAAGAAGGAGTCCTATTGAAACCCTCCACAAAAAAGGTTTCATATTGAAATCCTCCACAGAAGGATTCCATGCGAAGCCCTCCACTGAAGGGGAATCTACCAGAAAGGATTTCCCACATTGGCATTGAATTGGCATTGGTTTCGGGCCGCCTTGGCATTGTGCTGGCATTGCGTTGGCGCAACTTTGGCATTGCGCTGGTGCATCCTAATTACTCCCTTCGCAAGAAGATTTCGATTGAAACACTCCACAACAAGGATCCCTTTGAAATCTACCACAAATGATTGCCCCCATTGGCATTGCTTTGGCATTGGATTGGGATCGCCATGACATTGGTTTTGCATTGCGTTGGCACTGCGCTGGCGAATCCTAATCGGGCGCTCCAGAGGAGGATTCTTACTAATCTACCCCAAGAAGAAGGATGCCTAGTGGCCCCCCACATACACCAGAAGGGTTCGCATTGAACTCCTCCACAGAAGGATTGCACCCGAAGCCCCTCACAGAAAGATTCCTTTTGAAATCCTCCGGACATGGGTTCGCAATGACATCATCTCATGGAAATACATTCAGAGAGGATGCCCCCCAGTGGCATTGGTGTAACACTGTGTTGGCACTGCGTTGGAAGTGCGCTGGCATTGCGCTGGCGAATCCGAGTGCCTCCCTTCGCAGAGGGTTGCTACTGCAACCTAGCAGCCTCCAGAAGAATCGGGGATGGACAGACCCCCCTTTAGTAAAACGTGGTTTAGCGAAAACGACCTGAGGCCCAAACCTGGCGGGCGCAAGCCTGGAAAATAACGGCCACGGCGCCCTCTCGAGAACCGAAAACGGACAATTCACTAATCGACGTGTCACTGTTGGGGGTTCTGTCCACCCCCGAAAGAAGGATTCTCATACAAATCCACCACAAAGGATTGCCCCCAACGACATCTCATTGGCATCGGATTCGGGCCGTCTGGGCATTGGTTTGGCACTGTTTGAGCATGGCGCCGGCAAGTCCGAATGCCCCCCGTCGCAGAAGGATTACTATTGCAACCCTCCACAGACCATATTCCTTTTTTTTTTTTTTTTCCAGCGCACGATCTTCGTTTTGTCTTGGTTTCCCAAAGCAAAATGACACCACAGATGAGGAAACATACGCGTCTCAAATGCAACCTCTTTGTTGCACCGTACCGAGCACACCATGCCGCTGGACCCCTTTCAAAAGCAGGGAGCAGCAGAACACGGGTGGCACTACATATGAGGAATAAAACGCGTCCACAGACCATATTCCTATTGAAGTCTGCCACAAATGATTGCCCCATTGGCATTGCACTGGCATTGGGCTTGGGGTTACCTTGGCATTGGTTTGGCATTACGTTGGCACTGCTTTAGCATTGCGCCGGCGAGTCCTGACGCCCCCCTCTTCGCAGAAGGGTTCCTATGGAAACCCTCAGCAACAAGAGGGTTCCTCCTGAAATCTACCACAACATATTGTCCCCAACGACATTGCGTTGGCATCGGGTTTGAGATCGCTTTGGCATTGCGCTGGCATTGCGTTGGCATTGCGCTGGCGAGTTTCCATGCCTCCCTTCGCAAAAAGATTCCTATTGCAACCCCCAGTCGGATTCCTATTGGAATCTACCACACAGGATTGCCCCCATTAGCACAGCATTGGCATTTGATTGGGGTCGCCTTGGCATTGGTTTGGCATTGCGTTGGCACTGCTTTAGCATCTCGCTGGCATTGCGCGGACGAGTCCTAGTCAGACGTTCCACAGGAGTATTATATATCCTCCCAACAAGAAGGATGCCAATGAACACCCCCCACATACACGAGAAGGGTTCACAGTGAAATCCTCCACAGCAGGATTGCATTCGAAGCCCTTCGCTGAAGGATTCCGATTGAACTCCTCCGAACATGGGTTCGCAATGACATCATCCAATAAGGATTCTCATTGACATACATCAAGAGAGGATTCCCCAAAATGGCATTGTTTTAACATTGTGTTGGCATTGCGCCGGAACTGCGCTGGCGAGTCCGAGTGCCTCCCTTCGCAGAAGGGTTCCTATTGCAACCCCCAGTAGAAGGATTCTCATTCAAATCCACCACAAAGGATTGCCCCCCACGACATTGCATTGGCATCGGATTCGGGTCGCCTTGGCATTGGTTTGGCATTGCGTTGTCACTGCTTTAGCATTGCGCTGGCGAGTCTTCATGGCTCTCTCCGCAGAAGGGATCCCACTGAAATCGTCCACAAGAAAGATTCCGAGTGAAATCCTCCAAATGAGGATTCCTGTCGAAACCATCCATGTAAGCACTCCCATCGAACTCCTCCGAAGAAGGATTCGTCATGACATCATCCACATAAGGTTTCTTGTTGAAACCCACCGAAAGAAAATCCGCCGATCCGGCGTGTGAGTTTGAAAGAGCCTCAGATGTAGCCTCAGCTTCAGTTCCTGAGCTTCTGCTCTGCTGGGGGGTGGGTGCCGGGGTGGCTCTGCCAAGGTACACCCTGCGAAATGCTTAAGAAATCATGGGTTAAGAAATTCATAGTCTCAGAAATTGAATAAAACCCAGAACTTCTATCAAAATCTTCGGATTCACATTGAAAAAATAAGAATCATCGAGACTCTGGACGAAAACTTAGGTTTTCTTAAGCATCGCCCAAGGTGTAGAGGGGGTGGGGGGTGGGGGGGACGCGCTATGCTCCGTTTTCCGAGGGGGGTGGGAGGGTCGGGCCGTGGGAAAAACACAGCAGAGTGCCACCCCGGATGCCAGAGAGCCCAAGATTGCTGCAAGATATGTTGAAGATCGGGTCGGGGGGGAGGGGGGGGTAGCAAAGGGGGGGTTTGAGAATCAGCTCACGTAGCTGATTTTCCCGGCGCCTCCCGGCGCCGGAGGCGGCCATGTATCGAGGAATGGGCCCCTCGGTGGGCCGAAACCAGCTGCATGCAGCAAATTTCGTAACCCCCCCTTTCCCAATCCCCCCCTTTCGCCCGGCCCGAGAAGATGGCCCAAGATGTACCCAAGACGGCCCAAGATGGCGTCATGACGGCCCCAGAGGCCTCCAAGAGACCTCTGAGACGGCCCAAGACGCCTCCAAGAGTTCCCAAGAGGCCCGAAGAATGCCCAAAAGGCCCCCCGAGAGGCCCCAAGAGCACTCCAACAGCACCCCCAAAAAGGGCTCATGAGGCCAAAATCGTATGTCTTCCGAGAGTTTTTGACGGATTTTGACATGCTCGCCTTTTCGAGTTTCCGATGCTCCAGGACGGCCCAAGAGGCCCCCAAAATCGCACCAAGACGGCCAAAGAGGCTCCCAAGACCGCCCCAAACTGCCCAAGGAGCCCCAAGGCTACTCAAGAGGGCCCCAAGACGGCCCAAGAGGTCTCCAGGACTACCTCGGAGGCATCCAAGGCGCTCCGAGAAGGCCCCAAGACGGCCCCAACAGAAGCCCCAGAGAGGGAACCCGACCCAACACTTCGAGTCTTCCGGCGCAAGAGGCTCCCAAGAAAGCTCACGAGGCCTCTCAGAGGCCTTCCAGGAGGCCTCAGGGGGGCCCAATCCCTCCCTCCACCTCCCTCCCGCCTCATCCTCCACCTACTCCTCCACCTCCTCTTCCACCAACCAGATCGCATCGGGAGCGCCCCCGGATCGGCGGCACTGGCCGGAGGCCACTACAATAATCTCCAAGTGGCATTGCGTTGGCATTGGTTGGCAATGAATTGGCATCGCATCGGCATGAATTGGCCTGTTGCAGGAGAGAGACAGAGACAAAGAGAAAAAGAAAACATGGGGATAACACAGAAAATAATAACACACTAAAAATTTACTCAACCGAGAGAGGCGGAGGAGCGCTTCACTCGATACAAGCCATGTTAAAACAACGAGGCCCCTCACAATCAATATCCCAGCCTGTCCTCCTCCTCCTCCTCCTGTTTCTCCCCATCCACCTCCTCCTCCACCTCCTCTTCCTCCCTCCTCCTCCTCCTCCTCCTCCTCCTCCTGCCCCTCCTCCTGTTTCAAGGATGGAGGGCGGAGGATATTCCAAATTTGATTTTCGCAAGAGCGCCGCGCATATTCGTCCGAAACGTTTGCAGCAGCTTCAAGGATGGAGGGCGCTTATCGTTCATTATGTGGCTCTCGCTTCAGCGCCGCGCACAATCGTGATGACAATTTGCAGCAGTTGTACGTAAGGATTCGCACGGTTGGAGTCCCATGAATGGCGCTCTGGCGCCATACAATATTGTCAGGACGCAACCGTGACGTGGATTTACTGTGTTGAAATTCCAGAGATGATGCTCTGGCGCGATTTCAAATCATCATGACACAACAGTCACGTTAATTCGTGGCGCTGAGGTCCCAGGAATGGAAATTGAATGCGATTGAGGACGGTTGTCTTTCAATGGGGCACTTACAGCATTGAGCATCAATTCTTGCAGGGCTGATGGAGAGGGAGCTTGGAGGACGGGTGTATTGCAACATCGCTGATGCGTCTTATGCTTGCCCTGGTCCTCCTCCTCCTCCTCCTCCGCATCGCCTTTTTCTCCTCATGCCTGTTGCTTGCTCCTCCTTCTCCTCCCCGTCTGGGTTCGCGCCCCACCTCCGCCCGCTCCTAACGGACGGGTCCCTCAAGTAAGTTTTGCCAAGCCCGCTCGATCCGCTGAAGGCTCTGCTCCTGATTCCAGATCGCGCGATGAAATGCAAAGGGCGGCGCCGTGGTGGCATCGACAATTTCATCAAACTGCGCGTCCGTCTGCGTCACTAAGTAGAGCGTGATGCTTGCGCCTCGACCAGGATAGCCCGCCACCCTTGCAGCTGCACTCCGAAAGTGTCCAGGCTCCGCGTCAGAAGCTCCACTCACCATAGCTCCGTGCCCCACTGCAAGTCAAAAGCCCGTCCCCCATAACGCAGCGATCTTGATCTCGACCGTCTACTTGACAATAAAACTCGTTTGGGCCGATCTTTGAAAACGCCTTTTCGCCTCTTTGCCACCGCGTGACGTGCCGCCGTGCCACGCAACTCGTGGCCAAGATTACGCACGTGCTTCTTCTCAGGTGTGGCACGCAATTCGGCTGATGCACAGGAGGCCTCGCCGCCAACACGGGGCGTAGAAAAGAATCCCGGACTGCCAATTTGAATGGGCAAGCCTAACTTGCGCACGTCATGTATGAAGCCCTTGAGCGCCTCCCATAACTACGTCATTTTGCCCAAATCGCGACCGACCCACTGGGTCGAAATGTTGTCGGCCAGGCCTCGTGGAATCACTCCAGTGAGCTCCATCTTGTTGACCGCGCTGGCCGTTAATGCAATGAGGAACGTCGCGGCATGGCTGCAACCATCTGACAGCGACGCGCACGTACGCAACATCCTCGGCATCATGTGGCACTGCAGCGCCATCCAAGCACGCCGGACTGGAAACTCCATCTCCGCTGCTTGCTGCATCAACGTCTGCGGCGACACGCGCGTCCAACAGCGCCGCAATTCAGCGCTGACCAGTAACACGCCAAAACTTCCGCTGTGCTATTGCGCAGCACAAGCAGGTGCGCTCTACGATCGACCTGCACTTTCTGCTCCTAAGTGCATGGCAGGTCCGCTTGCTTGAGTCATTGCCGTGGAAATGACATTGCGAGCCCCCGACCAAACTCAAACTACTAAACGATGCAATCCAGTAAGTCCGCTTCCTCCGCCAGGCTTTGGCAAACGTTCCAAGATATTGGGAATTCTATTAGTGGACCAGAACCCTAGAATCTCACATGGGGAATGTAGCATGATGAACATTTCCAATCCAACAGTACACACTTGCCATAACGACTTAGGCACAATCCCCGTCTGCCCTTCTGCCGCGCGAGCAGGATATTTGAATGGCACCTGTCTCAGGAAATCGACCGACATGTTTGGTAACCTATACCCTTCCGAAATGTTGTCTGACAGCTTGAGCTTCGCGTGGCCGCGATGCTCCCGAGCGCCTCTCCACTTCGCGAACTCGCGGCCAACCAACTTGCACGGCCCTGGTTGGAACAGGGTCTTGGCGATCTGCGCCTCGGCAAGTACTTTCGCATGCTCGCGGGGAGCTCCAGCTCCACGAAGAGAGCTCTCTGCCCACTGTCTCCAACCTTTCATATTGCCACGCGTAACCCGATCATCCTCCTTCTCGCCGTGCTTGATGATTCTGTCAATGACACTTCGAAAACCTGCGCGCGAGAAAACTCCAGTCCATCCTTGAAGAAATGCATCGTGTCCTGGTTTCAGCGTTTGAGAACGCCCTTGCTGTGCGCCACCCTTTTGACCAAAAAGAGCGGCACCTCCATGGCCAGTGTCCCGTTGAGATCGGACAAACCTTCGCCGCCGAGGGGGGGGGCTGTAGTATTTTCCTGAAATTGGCTGCGCCGCCGGTAAATGCTCGCGCCGGCGACCTGCCACCTCCCATATCTGAGCCATCTCGGTCATGTAGGTGCGCTTCGCGGTGGCTTCCACTCGAGGCTCTTCCGCGGCGAGCGCGCCGGCCCAGCGCGTCCAAGATGCTTTTGTCGATCCTTGCCGATGAGATCCCACCAGCCAGCGAAATCGAATTTAAGCTCCGTGAGCACTGCATCCCACGCCGCTGTTAAAGTGCGCTGGTCCTTGGCCACCTGCGCAATCGCGGCTGCTTTTGTCGGGTTTTTTGACCGTGGGGAACGCGCGTGCCCCCGCCGGCGCTTCAGAGCAAAAACCAAACGTTTCAACAATTTGCCGCGTCCAACCTCGACCATCAACGTCCAGCGCTCCGAACGCGACGGGGCCGCGCGTTTTGAAAGTGGAATCCGCGATTGCCTCGCCTCGCACCAGACGCGCGAAAGCATTTGCGAAAACCGCGGCGTAACCAATGCGCCGCCCGAGATCACTCGTGACAAGTGGATCCCTCCGTGTAGTTTAGGTGCCCTTTGACGGACCCCAGCCACTCCTGCTGCCATTCATAAGGCTCGATGTTCCATTCGCCCAGGACAACCCCATCCATCCCCAAGGCGCTGAGCGTGGCGCAGTAACTGAGGGTCGCGCCTAAAATGTCCAGATTGCGGTCAGACCAACCTTCGGCGGCGCGCAGCTACACGCAGATCATCGCGATGCCCTCGGGGGCGCCCCAGCGAACGTGCTCAGCTACCACTCGCGAATTGTCGCACTTCGCCCGCGCAAGACAAAAAGCGCCTCCATGACAGCGACGTTGGAGAGAGCAAGCAGAGCGGCGCCGCCGTGAGAACCTCCTCCGCCAGAAGCTCCAGTAGCTCCCCTACTGCCGCGATGCCCGACATCTGCCACTTGCTTCTGCACCGCGGCCGCCTCTTCGTCTAAACAATGGTGCCCCTGCATCGCCGGCGCGCGGCAATCAGGCTTGGGCGCCGCGAACTCGACGAACGACGTGAGGCCCGCGCAATTGACCTTGCCCGCGCCCTCTGCACCTGAAGCCTCTACCTTCGCCTGCTCGGGTGACTCCTTGAGTTCTGTGCTTCCCGGCCGAAAGCCAATTTTTTTCGCATCTTGCCCCCTGCTGTGGCCTGCTTTATGCCTCTGTTGTCGAGAACCCGAACTTCTGGTGTAGCCGAAAGCAAAAAGGGCTTACTCGCCCATGTCTGCGAACCTGTCGGTCTCGGGTTGCCTCGGCCATGCCGCGACCGCCGACGACGGCGAGCGTCGGGCATGCGATCCGAGAGAAGTTCTGCCGATGCTCGCGCGCCTCGCGCCGAGCATCAGTGCAAATACCTGCAACCTGCTCGGGTCCGAAGGGCAGGTAGCACATTGCTTCCAACCTTCTGGTGACGTATTCGCGTCCAGGGTGCGCTGCGTAGACACGTGGATAAGCCTGGCGCCAGCCCCGTCCGACCTCTGGACCATGGAACTGCTCGGCTCGAAAGTCTCCGATCCAATGCTCAGCGCAACCCTTGATGCGGTCGCCAGACAGCTCTGCGACAAGGAACCTGGGTGGCGAATTGCACATTGCCTGACACCCCGAGCGGTCTGGATGCCAGTGTGGCGAGATCCAGGATTTCTCTGCTGACAAATGCCTGGCAGGCCCCCCCAGGAGACGCGCTTGGCCGATCCCCCCGTTGCCCGCGGGCTGCGTTGGAGGCCCCGCCCCCCGGCCAAGTGTTCAGCCAGCAGCGCGCCCCTGCCATCGGACCCCTGGGATGGGCGCAGGGGCGCGGCGACGAGCCCGCTCGGCAAAGCCTCCTTCACTGCGAGACGCTGCCCAATCGCGCTCGCAATGGGCGCCGCTAAATCCGCCAAGAAAAAAATATTGTCGGCCTGCCCTTGCCCTGTGCGCAGGAGGTGCCCGCCGCGTTCTGGCAATGGCTGATCCATCGTCTTTGTCCAGAATGAAAGAAATGGCGCGCCCGGCGGGGCCGTGGGCGCAAGTCGACCCATGTATTAGGAACGGCTTGAACGCCTCCTTAGGTTTCTCCTGCCTCCACGCGAAAAGCTCGCTTGCCACGTGGCGCATCTCCTCTTCGCCCATATCGTCAGCCCTGCAGCCGACGCGATCAAGATGCCCCCGAAGAACAGCAACATCGGCAGCCTGCGCAGAAACCGTTGCTGGCGGCGTAGAAAAATGGGGCGCCGCACCGCCTGCACCTGCACCTGTTCCAGCTGCGTCAGGTGGCAGCCGTTGCTTCGAACTTGCCGCCGCTGCAGCTGGAACCAGGACCTTGGTGAGCTCCTCGTCCTGCTTGATCTTGCCCACCACGTCCTCTTCGACCCCGTGGCTCTTGAGGAGCTGTTCAAGCGCGTCGACCGTGTGCTCAGGCCCCAGCGCTGCCGACTGCACAAACCCTGATTCACCAGGCGATGCCACAGTTGAGCGTGCAGCCAGTTCCTTGCGCTGTTTTTTTCCAGAGCCAACAACTGCTGACGCATCTCTGCGACTTTGGTCTCGTCCTGCCCCACCAACTCCTACAACTTGGCGGCTTCTGCCTTCCACTCGCCCAGAGCGTGTGGAGCCTTAGAAAACGTTTCCTCCATGTTGGCGCACTTTGCGGGACGAGGCGGAAATCTGAATGCCCACTGGTTTGCTTGCACGACGCTTGGTGTAGAGTTCCTCTTGCAGCTTGAGCAGCCTCTCTCTCGTACAGGTGCCATCGCAGAAACTTGCGCAACAAACGCATGCGGGCGCTTCTTGAGTTTTCCCTGGACGTCGTCGATCTGGCGCTGGAGCTCAGATGCTGCCCTTAAGGTACCGCCTCCATCTTCGTCTAAGGGATTGGCGTCGGGTCCAGCAGACTTCTTTGCAGCGGGCTCACGTTGAAGATGCTGTCGCTCCTCTTCCATTTCGGCCATCTTCTTGGCCTGGTCCCGTTGCTTTTCCCAAAAAGTGATACATCGCGTTGAGGTCGGGGTGAGGGCGAGTTGGCTCCACGATCGCCTCCGGAAACGGCATTTATGTAGACGGCACCGAGCGCAATGCAAGTTAGAGCCTAAGTTAAGGAAACGAATGTCTTTCTCCTGCCACCAACTGTACACGCAATATTTGCACTTCCAGTCCTCCCTCTCGCGATCCGTGCTTCTTGCTCGAGCGAGTCCCATCCCGTCGGCTCGCCGGTGCCAACTGATTGAGCACCCAGAAGAGCTATCGAGTTATGAAGTGGCGCCGTAGCGCAAAAGTTTAAACTTTGGGATCAGCCCAATACAGTATGGAAGTTGGTGGGGCCGCGACTCCCTTCGCCAGCAAGGCTCAGTCCTCGAGCGAAGCGCTACGGACTTGAGCCAAAATGGCTTGAGACAAAATGGCTACGGACCTCCTCCTCCTCCTCCTCCTCCTCCCTCCTCCTCGCCCCTCTCGTGGACCCCACCCTTCCCGCGAGCGACCCCCTCCGCCCAGCGGGGGGTCGCGCCACGCGCGCCAGCCGAAGCCGGGCCGCAGCCGCAGAGCGTGCGGCGCGGGCCGCAGACCAGGGGCTGCCGCCTCGTCGTCGGCGCCGGCCTGGGCGCGCGGCGAGGCGGCGTCCGCGATAAGAGCAGCACCAAGCATTCAGGAGGGGACCTAAGTTTTGGGTGGCCCAACAGGAGGGTCCAGCTGAAAGGGGGTGGTGCAATATACTTGGGGCAATGGTATTGCAAATTTAAGGCGCAGGAGGATTGTATTGCATTGTATTGAGAGTAATGTATTGCACGAACAATTCCAGCAATACATTTGCGCCCCGAAATGTAGTGCACGCCCCAGATGACTTGTAACCCCACAAATATATTGCACAAAATCTATTGCATCACCCCCTTGTCGCTGGACCCTCTTTTGGGTCAACCCGATAAGTAAAGGTCAAAACATCCACCCCAAAAAGAACCACCCCGACGCACGAAGTCGTTTAGTAAACGCACCTAAAGAGGGAATCAAGCAAGGCAAGACTGTTTAGCAAACGCCCAGGGTCGGGTCCGAGTGGTTTTTCCTCCCTTGACCAAGGAAGAAGGGGCGACAACCAGAGGGATAAGGGAGTCCTTTTTTGCAGATGTGTCAGGCTGGGCCGCTCATATTAGCAGGGATATCTCTCAAAACCGGGGACCGAAATGGCGCAACCTCATTGTGCTATCAGGGTTGGGGGTAGTGGAATGCTTAATGAGTCAAGGAGCAGGGGAGAATCCATCGGTCGGAAGAGGTAGGCAGATAAATGAAGTAGGGGGAGGTCGGTGATGGTTGTTATCGCTACTCCCGCGTAGCAATCGTTGCTTGGGGTGTCTTTGTGGGGGGGGCGGCGGGCAATGGTAACGCTTGGGCATGATGGGGCACATCGGGACGGGGGTGCGCTGCGATAGACATAGTCCGGCACAACATGCCTTCGGGCACCGACATGTGTGGGGGGGTCTAACCCCCCGCCTTCCAACATGTACCATCGTTACCGCTACCCTGGGGGGGACGACTGTTACGTGTGAGAGAAGGAAAACAACAATCTCTTGGGAGATTGGATATCTGCCCGTCCAAAGAAGACGAAGGAATAACGATAACCATTCGATCCTTGAAAGAGGGGAAGAAGGATGCAGTTATCGTTCTACCAGAAGGAGCGGTGAGTAAGGAACGAATGGGCTCTTCTGGCCCCAGCGAGCCTCGGCTTCGCATATGTCCGCAGACTTCGACATCAGGAACGGCCCGAAAACCATAGCCCCTCCTGGGCCCGAAGTGGCTGTCATGTCAGCGTCTTGGCTGTAATAGCTCAACCCCGAGAGGCCCCGAAAGGGCCTCAAGGGGCCTCCAAGACGCCTTCTAGAATCCCAAAGAGACCCGAGACCCTAGGTCCACAACCTGGGCACATTGGCGGAACAGCCCTTGATCCCCCTCACCCTTGCTGGGTCGGCCCGTTGTTTTTTTTTGGGGGGGTCTGCTCCGCACAGGGCTCCTGGAACTCGTGGTGGCGGCTCCTGCGTGCAGACCTCCATGTCGACTGCGAATCATCATCTAGGCCATCATCCGCATCCCCTCCTCCTCCATCGACAACCTGCGCTTCTACAAATCGCGAAACACCTCACAAGACCCCCAAACAACAACTTGCTGATGCACTCGAGCGCCTCCGGGAAACCCATGAGAGAATCCCATGCCTCGGAGGCTTTTCTCCTTGGGCCTGTGAAGACGTGGGGCCAAGAACCCTCGACCCAGTCCCAGGGACCTGCGGGCTGTAATTCGATGGAGGAGGAGGAGGAGGAGGAGGAGGAGGAGCCGGAGGAGGAGGAGGAGGGGGGGGGGGGGACCGCAGGCACAGGCACAGACGCCGAGCAGAGGCGGATCCTGGATGCCACCATGTGTTTGACGACAGCACGGATGTCTGGGGCTGCCGACGGCACCCAACACGCCTCCGAACAACAAGCACAAAGCAGCCATTAAAGGTGGGAGTTGGCAACTTCGGGGGGGAAACATAAACAGCTGGCCGAATCTGAAACACAAGAACCAGCCAAGGCTAGAAATAATGGAAATGCTGGCTCAGCCACTGTTTGCATTCGTATCCACGCCCTTGCGGTCTGGACTTACGGGGCGCGATCCCGTAGACACGCGGTCGTATGGATACGTTCCGCGCGGGGCATCCGCGCAAAACCGCTTCGTATCCATGGGGGGTGGGAGGGGCGCGGCCCAGGGGCCCAGCCCGCGAGACCGTGGATATTGATGTGCTTGCTTTGCCCGCCCACGAACTAGCGGACGAAGACCTGTGTACAACAACCTGTTTCCGCCGTCGGGGACGCTGTCCCCGAACGGCTGAACAACATCGGCCCTGACGCGCCACCATAGGGCCATAGGGATGTAAACTGTCCTGCCCGCCCTGGACAGGCGTCCCCGATGGCGAAGCAGCGCATTGACCACATTCCTAGAGAAACCCAAGACTGCATACACATAAACTTTCGGAGCTGCGCGCGGATGTCTTGGATCGGCGCCGGGCCCCCCACCCTGGCGCGAGGAACGGGCCAGGGGTGGCGTCGCAGGCGCTGCCAAGGGGCTTCAGCACAGATCCAATATATCCGCGTGGCGCTTCGTAAATTTACGTTTATACCTTCTTTGTTTGTTCGACTTTCTTCGTCCGCTGAAAGATCCGGGAGACGTCAGACTCGGGATGGAGGAACTCGGGTTCGCCTCACGGGGCAGACAGGAAAATGACGAGACCCAACCTGGGATTTGACGCGAGCTCCCACTGCAGACATCCCACGAAGACTGGACGGTCAAAATCCAGGACGGGTCCAGTAAAGAGCGTGGGTAAACCCGAGTTTCGGCAATTTCTGCGGTTACACATGGAAGCCTCCCAAACTATCGTGTTGGCTCTTGCGAGTCGATGCTAATCGACGCTAGTCGACGCTAATTGACACTAGTCGACGCTAATCGATGCTATCTCGTCGACCACCACACGCTAATCGACGCGAGTGCTTTCTTAAGACGGCATTGCGAAGGTAGACGAGGCCCCCACGACATTCGACCGAAGAACTCCCGTCTTACTAGAAGAAGAATTCAAAGGCAACACTGTGGAATGGGGACTCCCCGCTGCAATGTCCTGGAGGAGAACCGCGTTCACCTCCTCCTCCTCCGCCTCCGCCTCCTCCTCCTCCTCGTCCTCCTCATCGGCGCGGGTGGGTTGACATGTGTCCTCCAGTTGCGGTTGCGGTTGCGCCCCCCGGCGGGTTGAAATGAATCCTCTAATTGCGGTTGCGGTTGCGCCCACGGGCGGGATGAAATGTGCTCTCTAGTTGCGGTTGCGGTTGCGGTTGCACCCGCGGGCGGGTTGAAAGGCGTCCTCCAGTTGCGGTTGCGGTTGCGGTTGCGCCCGCGGGCGGGATGAAATGTGCCCTCTAGTTGCGGTTGCGGTTGCGGTTGCGGTTGCGCCCGCGGGCGGGTTGAAATGTGTCCTCTAGCGCGGATCCAAGAAACCCGCGCGGAGCGACAACAATTTTATGTTTATGGCGTCTTTTCTTCTTCGAGTCTTACGTTTCGAACGAGCCTCTCCTGGGGAAGCCAAAAGGTGCCGATACCGCTACTCCCCTGACCTCTCCCGAGGTGCGTTCTGACCAGGATTTCGAGGCGAATCCAGCGGTGGCGACGAGGACCTCCCAGGAGGCCCCAAAAGGGAAAACGAGTGAAGGGTAGAGGTATGGGTACCATTTCCTCCTCTGGAGAACTCTCGACTTGCGTTTCGCCGAAACGACCCTCTCCCAGCCTCCCTGCACTCCGGCCCGCGCGGAGAGGCCTCCCGCGCGTACGGCGTGCCTTCCCCCCCCGCCGCGGCGGCGCCCAGGCCTGGCGCCGCAGCAGCTGCGCCGCCTCGCCCGCCAGGAAGATCACCGCGTCGCGCTTGGGGGCGCGACGGCGGCGGCGAAGGCTGCGACGAGGGCTCGAGGTAAAATAGGGGCCCGACCGCAAGAAACCTTCCACAAGAAACCCAACCCTGAGACCCCAGGACGTCCATTGATTTTTGGTGTGGGGACATCACGCTTCCCATGGCAAAACCATCGAGACCCAAGGAAGAAACCCGGGGCACCCTGGAGGCCAGCCGGGTGTTTCCTGGCATGAGCCTCCACTGTAAGCAGTGTTTGCCGTTTTCGTGCAGTGCTCTCGTCTCTCCCTGTGCCCGACAACGAAGCCAGAAGGAAAACGGCCCACGCCATCGCCCAAACACCGGATAGACGAGGGCGGGACGGGACCCTGGCGGCGCGCGCAAAGAGGGCCGCGGCCCTCTAAGCAGCCCCTCCGGCCCCGCCGGAGCCCTGCTGCGACGCACCCCCTCGCGCCATCCCTCCGTGCGCGCCGCCCGAGACGGGTGGTCCTCATGAGTGGTGATTCGGTGCGGATCTCAAGCGTGCCTCGCCTTCGTCGTCGTCTTTTTCGGTGTCGTCGTGGCGGTGGTGACCGTGATGCGCGTCGCTCTGCTCGGGACTTGTTTCCAGCATGCAGCGACCACCATCAACACCCTCCACCGTCCTTCTCCTCCCCAACGAGAGCAAGAGGAGGAGAAGGGAGGGGCGAGGTGAGCGGTGGACCCCACCCACAGAAAGCAACACACAAACATCTGCACACATATGAACAACACACACATACACACACGCACACACAGAAACACACACGCACTCGCACACACACACACACAGGCCCGCACACGCACACGCACACACACACACACCCACACACACACACACACACACTCACACACGCACGCACACGCACATGCGCCCACGCGCACACGCGCACATGCGCCCACGCGCCCACGCGCCCACGCGCACACGCGCACACGGGCACACGCGCACACGCGCACACGCGCACACGCGCACACGCGCACACAGGCTCACGCGCACACAAGCACACACGCACTCGCAAACACGCACACGCGCACACACGCACACACACACACACACACGCAAGCACACACACACACACGCAAACATACACACACACGCACTCGCACACGCACACACACGCGCACGCGCACACGCACGCGCACGCGCACGCACACGCACACGCACACACGCACACGCACACGCACGCACGCACATGCACGACTACGCACGCACACGGACACACACATACACGCACAAACACACACGCACATTCACGCGCACGCGCACGCACACACGCACACACACGCACACACACACACACGCACACACACACACGCACACACGCACACACGCACGCACACGAACACACACGCACACACGTACCCACACGCACACACATGCACACACACACACGCATACGCACACAC